GCATCTGTCAGCTGTTCTTCATGCACGACTTTGCACTATAGTCCGTCGTATGGGTTCCGGATAATATTGACAATCTTCTCAGGAATTCCATAGTGTCGAAGAATTTTTCATAATGTTCTCCTATCTACACTGTCAAACGCCTTTTCATAATCAATGAAGTCCATGTATAGTGACGAGGTCCATTCACCTGATTGTTCGACGATGATCCGTATTGTCGCAATTTGGTCTTTGCACGACCGATCCTTACAGAATCGAGTCTGTTGATCTCGAAGTTGGGCGTCTACTGCATCTTTAATCCGGTTCAGCAACACTGTTAAAGACTTTTTCGGGTACTGACAGTAGTGTAATGCCTCTGTAGTTTTCACATTTGTTCAGACCTCCTTTCTTTGAAAATTTGATGAGCTGTCCTTATTTCCAGTTCATCAGCACTTGTTCCTCCTCCCAAATCTTTTTGAACAGAAGGTGAAGCATGTTTCTAGTTACTTCGATGTCTGATTTCAGTTCTTCAGCTAATATATTGTTGGATCCTGGTGCTTTCTCGTTCCTGTTTTTTCTGATGGTCAACCTGATTTCTTCGGTCGTTGGTGGATTGACATCTATGGGAAGATCTGTGTGTGGTGCTTCGATGTCCACATTCAACCAATCGCTTGTGTCCTTACAAATCTAAGCCCAATTTCGACCGATAGAGTGTATCCATCAGTATTTCTCACCCAATATTTCGTTCTAAACTGGCATGTCTGATTAACCCAGTACAATAATTAGCTTGGTTCGTTTTTCGATTGAGTAATAGAAAGCAGGTAATGGTAAATCATCTTCATTTCATGGAACATAGAGAAGTGTATTAAATCAGATAGTTGATATCATTTTTTATCGCTCCTCAACTTCTAATTTCTATACCTGAAGGTGAAGAGTGGTTGATGATGTTCTTCTTCGATAATATACTTTTGTTTGTCAATGATTTATCAAAATTCATTCTGGATGTACAATACATTCAATTGCTAATATGATTCATTAAATTTAATGCAACATAACATTTAAAGTTAATATGATTACTAAATCAAAGAACAACCTTTGAGTAACACATTATGGGTACTTGTAACATGATCCTTAATAAAATGAATACTGGACCGACCAAGTTCCTGCTAAGATTTACGGAGAATGAATAAAATATCAAAAGCATTTTTCAAATCAGTCAGTCAGTTACAACGTACGACCAGGCACATATATTCGTCGGTCCAAGTTGCCATACCTCATCAGCACAGCGAGATGAGCGCCGAATTCATAGGATCAGTTCATTCAATGGTAGTAATATATAAAAGAAAGATTTCCTATAAGCATATAGTACAGGAAGAAAGAATTAATTGGTAGAAAGATATGAAGCGATTTTAATCTCATGGTTTAAAGGAAAAGAGGGAGTGTATACACCTAGACCATGGGGATCGATTCTGAGCCATATCAACCAGGGTTTCGTACAATTGGTTACGATAGTCACGCGGACCTCAGCCAAGTAGTCTGAATCTACCAACATGGCTCAGAAATTAGTTAAGTTAGTGACTTCAAGCACTGATGCCAAGTTTTGCTTTGGTCGCCCCTAATATTCTTCCAACCATCCCCTACACTAGTCAACATTGCGCGTCGTAGTAATCGGTGTTAAAGCATACGTAATACGTAGCCCAACCGTCTCATTATATGAAGATTCACAACCTCATCAACTGATTTATCATCATTCCCTACTACCCTGCGTCTAACCTCGCTATTACTTACTCGATGATCCCAGATGCAAGTGTAAATTAACTCCAAGATACTAAAAAGGAAAATGGTGTGTAAATCTATTTTGATCATTCATGCAATAAACAAAACAAAAGCACATAATATATATATATATATATATATATATATATATATATATATATATATATATATATATATATATATATATAACTATATTGACCGGAAGAAGATTGCCTGACTTCTCTATCATCGTTCGAGTGGAAGACTATCATTGAAGTGTCGTGCATCGGCTGTCCAGTTTATCTAGTCTGCACGTAACCTTTTACAAATCGTAGTGCAATGAAACATTAGCTGAATACACTACAAACACACTTTAACATAAAATGTATCTGTTGACTAGATAAATAATGAAAAAATTTACAATAGTTGTGTTTTCATATTAACAAATAGTTTTGACAAGTTTGATTCTGAAAATTCTGTTTAATTGTTGTAATTGGTATAATTCATTCATGTTAAATATGTATCTATTTAAGTTATTTCTAATATCGTTCGGATTACGAATGAGATAACCATTTCCTAGCTCCGTAGACCATGGAAGGATACTTTTTTAGCGACCTAAGAAGAGGAGTGGGTTAAGGGTAGTTTTGAAACCATGACCTACCTTAAGAGTAGTCATATATGACCGTTTTATTAGTTTCTGATGTGTTATCTCCCTACCATGAAATGAAAAGTGCGAAACTACTCCGTTTTCTTAAGAATATTCATTGGTCATTGTACAGTTTTGTTAAAACTTGTGCCCTGTGTTCTATTAATGTAGAACGTGATGACACTGCCAATTAGAGAGTAGTGAATTATCGATCGCACCAAGGACGTGTAAACACGTACAAGCAGTCTAGAGTCCTGATTGGTTCTGCTTTCCTCCTAGCCTAGCCTAGCCAGTTAAGTCCAGAACACCAATCTCAGCCTCTGCAATATGAATCATTATATTTCAAACATACTGAGTACATTTACCAATCAAACAGACCACATCATACCATAAAATAGAAAATAACATTTGTTCAAGATTTAGCTAAAAGTAGCTGTGAATGTGGGAGATGGAGATTGATAGACAGGGTATAACTCAAAAATGATAAATCGTATAATAATAGTTCATAGGTCAATAGGAAGCTCATATTAAAAGGGACATGAATATGTATAATTTAGTTACTTAACAATTATACGATAAAGATATACGTATAGTATTGGTCCATAAATAGGTCACAAAGGTACCATTTACTATACTCATCGGGATATAACAATTGTTTTAATGATTAGACTTGAAAATAAGGAAATCATTCAAGCTAGAATATTATTTCGAAATGTAATACATATGAAAAATTCAGCGAGACTATTATTTGTGAATGAATGACCTTTGAGCGACTCTAGACTGATCTTGAGAGTGTCCACCTAATAACTATGACCAAATGAGGGTTATAAATTAGTGTGAGGAATTCGAATGATGATTTAGGTTAAAAGTTAGATTTAAAGTTATCATGAGCTGATATCAGCTAAATTACCAAGACTCTATTTAGCCAAGTGGATGAATGAATTTCCCGCGGAAATCCGAGACCTGTTATCTTATACCTGATTACTTGGTCCATAAATTATAGTCTCGCCGAAAATCCATATAATGAAGAAAGACAATAAAGTTTGAAGCATGACACAAACTACTTATTATTAGTACATAGTATATAATATAACATGAATCGAATGATGCTAGAAACTTTTGTATCATTAAAGTTTAATAGTAATTGGAATATATGATGTTAACTGAAAGAGTTAAGAAATTTTAACAGTTCACTTTCTGAATGAGTATTTACAACCAAAACAATGAAACTTTATAAGCACAAACGTTATCACTATGGAATGTAATTTATGATAAGTTGAATTCATTTGTGTCACAAATATGGTTACCAAACGAGACAACTTTATTAATTCAACAACTGACTTGAGAACAAAATTTTTTAAAAGAAGCCAATTTCACATTTCTAGTGTCTGCCGTTCAATTCCTCTTCGATGAACAGAACGTGCATGAGCAAGAACTTGTAATAAATTATATGGCTTATAATCATGATTATGTATAACTTTATAGAAATCTACCCGTAAATGTTCTGGTACGGCAGAGAGTTAGCTCTCCATGTCAAAAAGCTGTCACATGACCGCGCGTATACAGCCATTGCCAGGGAAGTCCTACTCACTAACTTCTCACGGCATTACTATTGTTTACGAAATCGAGAGGATGAAAAGCGAATGTTCGGCGCTTTAACCGAGTTGATGGACATGGAGAATCCATCTAGGGAAGTTAGAAAACCCTCATTCCAAAACAATGGTACACATGTGCTCCAGGATCCTGAGGGAACCAAAGGCGTATGAACCAATTGTTGGTCACCTGCTACCATGGGACTGAATCTTCTTACATTGGTCCACTACCTTGTGGATTAGACCTTTAGGTCAAAAGATCCAGGTGTGAACATCTAAGAAAATCACCTGTTTCGGTTTGGGCCCCCGGGCAGTGTCACAGCTCGCACACAAATCAAGTGATGCATATGTAGCCGGTGCCCACTTGTACACCAATATTTATGTTTTCAAATAAATAATTCAAACAAATGGATATTGATACAAGGAGGGATCAAATACATATGCGCCACGCAAATGTCATTTGAGTTATGTGAAGACTGTGATACTTCCCAAGTGCCTAAACCGAAGCAGGTGGTTTTCTTAGGGAAACACACCCCCAAGCCTTCGACCTACAGGTCTGATCCACAAGGCAGTGGAGCATCGTGAGGAGATGCAGTCTCATGGTAGCCTGTGACCAACGATTAGTTCATACGCCATTTGTTCCCGCAGGATACTGGAGCCCATGTGCGCCATTGGTTTGGGATCCGGTTATAGAGCTAGACATTCGCTTTTCGTCCTCTCAATTTCGTAAACATCACCCCCGCCATGAGAAGGCATTGAGTAGGACTTCCCTGTCAGAGGCTGTATACGCGTGTCCATTTGAGCGCTTTTTGAGAGGGAGAGCGGACTCTTACCACCCTCGGGCGTACCAGGGCATTTGGGGCACATATCTTAACTTCATCAGCTGATGAAATTTTACAACGCTATGAACTAATTTACAGTTTCTATACATATATTAAATGTTTTGAAGTCTAACAAATTAAAATCTCTACAGTAAACTGAAAACCAAATGATATACAATGTAAAGTTTAAATAGTTTAATAAACGGTTATCTACAAAAAAATCGATTTTGTTGATAAAATAAAACATAAAAATAGTGTCAAAAATAAAATAACCTGAAAAGAAAATTTGTTATTCATAAATAGTGTTGTAGCTTTATTACAACCATCTCTATCTTGACAATAGCAGACTTCTTTGTAAACACCTTGGGCTTCAAACCAATAACGACAACTCCAGGCTAAACCTAAAATAAAAGTTGTTTTTTTTGAATGAAAAGCTGTTTTTTTGTACAAGTAGAAAAGTTAATAACTAATTTAAATGTTTAAAGCACAAAATTTAGCGGTGGTCTCTTTTTAACGAATTTACTGTTAAACTGCACATATGTATATGTGAAATATCGGATTCCAGAACATGTTTCGTCGGTTATGTGCAACAGAGAAGTGTAAAAGAGAGGAACATCTTCATCAAATGCTTAGTTGACCCTATCCGTTCATGTTTACCAAGATTTATTTGTATCTAACTCTTTAAAATATACGTTTTTTTGTAAATACAAACGAGTTTTGAATGAATAAGGCTTCCACATATCCAGTAAGGCAGTTTTCATATCAAGTTCTAACACTGTTTTGGTATCATTAGTACGGCAACTGTTATTTTCTTGCTTTCTGGGTTTATCATGGTATATGAATTATTGATTCTAGAGCTAATAGGCACGCGTTTCACTACTACTGACTGCGTTATCTTATTTCGCCATATGAACGGCAAATCTATTGGGATATGAAGTATTAATTTATATGCTTTTGAAGCCTACTTAGGTCCATGAATTTATCTTTTTCAATGATAGCATATTGTTTTTTCAAAAACCGTCCTTGGTCTCTGTTTTAAGACTATGGCAACGCAATGTAAACTTTCTGAAAATGAGTAACGGATGAGTTGTGATAGTAAATGATTTACTTTCCAAATTATCAACATCAATGGGCATTTTTTATCACCACTTTTCCGGTCACAGTCTTAGTATATACTTCAATCACATCTCAAATGCAGATTTGTTATAATTGAATGAAGCGGCACCTTACTACGCTGCACTTGTATTGCGATAGAAAAACTTGTGGAAGCTCGAGTATTGACCAGTCCATACAGTCTCCTGCAAATGATCGTTTGATATCAGAATCATCTTCCCGATCAAAAAATATGTCTCGTTGGTCAGTACATGTTTTTAGTACGTTATTAAGTTGCTGTAAAAATCAAGTCACATCCAAATCCCTATGATGTATTACTGACATAAATTTCATGCAATTTGTTTAGGAAATAAACTCACTCGTCACGTTTGCAACAGGTTACAATGCGTAAATTGGTTGAGAGTGGTTCCAAAAGATCGAATTACTCTTAATGTTACTTTTGGACTCGAAATACATCTGTCATAGTTTACGAGAATTATAGCTTTTCAATAAAACCATTCTATAAGTTGGTCTCGACATTTTTGAATATAACTTTGATAATTTAGAATATTCACTCTTTGCCATTTATTATCAAATCTAGTTTCGAGAACTAATTTTAAAAATATTTGAGCGATAATACCAAAAGTTGGTGATAATATCCTCAAACACAAGCATATATTTTTTATGTAGTTGTAACATATTTTGTTACATTTAATAGTGCTTGTTATTAGAGTATGGACATTATGTTTTGTTAAATCCGCAACAATGGTTATCACCACAGATTTTATTTAATGAAGCAATGATTATCTCTTCTAATATCCAACTGTCCATGTACAACGCACTTAAGATGCACAATCGAATTCTTAAAACCATACAAAGACATTAAACATGTGTAGATTTGATGTGATTCAAAACTTGTTTTTCATCACATACAGATATTGATTAGAGTTTACATATCTTTCATAATCAAACAAATATGGAGTATTGTTTTACAGTCTGTAGACGTTAAAGAAACATGATTATAGTTCATTGAAAGACATGGAGACCATGAATCATACACTTATCAATGAAATTACTCCCTAACTATCAAACTTAATCATTTCCTCCTCATATTAGAATTATGGGAAACTAAGAAGAGCCGCAAAATAAGGAGTGCATGGGTATTTCTCATATTTAAATTCACATGCGACTGAAGGAGGTTAATAACAAAAACGTTTTTAAGTTTTACACATAAAAAAGGGTTGATGAACATGTAACTAAATATTGAAGGTACGTTTAGGCAATTCAATGAAGCAAATTACTTTAACACGAGATTTTAAGTATCTCACCATAGTCAGTTCGTGCACCACAAGTTCGTGTGACTTTTATCCATGAATGCCAACCAGTGCTTTCTTGATAAATTTTTACACAAAATGTTCCAGGTGAATGTGATAAAAAACTACCACAATCTATCATTGCATTAAGTCTAGTATCAAAAAATCTTCCGGCTGGACACGAATCATCTTCATTACTATCGCACTGATAACATCGAATAGCCAATATTTCTAATAGGTTAGAAAATTCAAGTATATAAAATTATTCAATCAATATATTTAGCAAGACCGGTTTATCAAAATCTCTGAAAAAGTTATTTTACCTATAAACTATGAATTTCGGCTACATTTTAGTAGCAAATGATGATGTAAATAACTCCAACCATGCACCTTACTTGAAAGGAACGTTATAATTAAGTAAAATTATGATATGAGGTTGCGAACTCGAATATCAAAATTATTATCCAAGAAATCGAGTCTCGTCAAAATTTGTGTAGGCTGTCTATAGAATAAAAGCTAAAAGTATGCTTGTACGACAAGTTAGTAACAATAAGCACAATATATTTAATACTCTATATAGTTCTCTAAATTATGCCTCACGACAATTTGATAAGGCACAACGTCATTTTCTGTAAACTGTTAATGATTATAATCGTTGTTTTTAAGATTTCAAAAAATGTATGCTAAATTTTGCAAACATATTTAATGATACGGTGAAACTATTTATTTCGGAACTTTTTCGACATCAAATTATAAATTTTGTGCCTTTACCATGTTATGCTAATAGTATAATTTGAATTTTGACACATTTGAAATGGCCGTTTTAAATGTGTCAAAATTACCCGGGTAATTTGCATCACACATCCTTCATTTAGTATGAGTTTTCATCGCTATGTTTAATCATTTGCCGTACACATATTAAACTAGAATATGATTTATAACCGTTGGTTTAATCTCCTCTTTTTAACTGAAGTTTCAAACTTGTGGACATCTCAATGTAAATGAATGACCACAAGTATACCTGTTGTAGAAGTTAAGCGATAGGTTTGCGTTTTCCCCAGTGACAAAAGTGCACTATCCAGATAGCCAAGTTTTAACTGGTGAAAACGGAGTAATTGGAAATTCTTCATACTTGACTACGTGAAAAATAATTTGAACAATGATGTCTTTCCATCGCCAAATTTCTAAGGATTTAAATAGCTCTTATATGAATTCATGCGAATTATTTTGAAAGTAGTTTTTAAATATAACTAGGTTTCTTGAAAATGGGAATGAATTACTATTTTCAAAAACTTCTTTTCCCGTGAGTAACGTGAAGAAGTGTACTACCAATATTTTGAGGCAAAATTTACTATGATTTATCTTAATAGTAAAACCATGATAGAAACTAACCCTTCTCGTACAAAAGCAATAAAATGTAAACAGGAAACAACTGTGTAAACATATTTAAACGTTTGCCACTGTTCGCCCTTGAAAGTAGCAAATGTTAGAGAAGTAGAACTCAACATTTATCTAGCTTCCGTGTTCGTGTGTTATAAATAACAAAATTTGGTAAGTTGTGTGTAAATAAGGCTTAAAATAGATAGTTATTAAACAGACGAAGTCGCAAGTACTATTTTTAATCCATTTTACTTCTAGCTGGAAGAATCAAGTAATATAACCGATTGCGCGAAAAAGAGTTCACGCTTGCTGTTTTCTTTATTTCAAGTGAAAACTGTATTTTTGGAATTTTTGGTAGTGAATAAACATTATCTGCGTCTTTTTTAAGTTTAACACATGAGATGTTTCCGCTTTGTTGCAAACATACATGTTGCAAGGATTATCTGTTTTCTTATATAAAAAAGATCCATCTGCAATTTGTTCAATCCTGAGTAACACAAACAACAGGTCAATAACACTAAGAAGACGCAGTCAACAGTTTCACTTCATCATGTTTTCATCACATTAAGTAACTCTTTTTTTGTAATATTATTGATAAGCAATCTCATATACTAAATGTTGGGCACAAAACTAAAGAACGTCTGCATGCCAGAAACGATAGTAATTATGTGATGGTTAGATATCAAGAACTAGAGATATTATTCAAGAACTTCCACTGCCTACATATGAAAACTCACTATACTCTTGAATTTCCTCTCCTTGAGATGGAGTGATTTCTTACTCTCCTGTAGATCAACCATAATTGTCCCAAATGTTGGAGTCCTCGTATGATCCATGCTCAAGATCTATCGTTACCTGGTTTTCCATCACTGCATTTGATCTAGATGATTTATGTCTACTTCAAAGAGAATGACCGCAACAGCGCTGTGGAAATAATGTAGGGTTGTAAAATTATAGTCTACTTTGTTAATAGCAATATTATAATAATAACCCAAATCCTAAAACTATGAATATGTCATGATGTCACTACTTATTCCATAGGATATTACGTGGAAGTCACATTATTGTCCATATTGATTCATCATATCGTAACAATAAACTATATGATGTTCCGAGTTTGTAAAGAACAGGTTTAGGCTGAATATAGAATAATCTATTTAATGGGAGTGAAGATAAGTTATACCGAATGACCACGTCTGCGATTCTGAACCACTTTATCCAATTTATTTCAACTATGTATTCCCGCGTTCAGCATTGTTGGCCTTCTCTTCATGTTACTCTAAATGTTTATTTTCCCAGTTATTTCACATTCAGATTTGAGAATTGCGTGGTTACGGTCGATACCACTACCCTACCTTTCCACCAGAATCAACGTTGCTTTTCTTAGGTGCCATATCGAGTGGGACTGACGTCCACTGGATGTTGTCAAAAGAATAATAATAATCCTCTGGATATTGGTTCAAAAATACATGCTTCATTTTCATGATGTTTGATTTCATTCAAAATAAAAGTCTATGTAAAATTTATTCGGGAGTTTAACAAAGCGGAGTCTTGAAAATTAAGGACGATTTCGTGTAGAGATATTTGAATAAGAGAAAGTAAGATGCGTAGTAACAATCGTTTTTTAATAGCTGAACTCATGGGTAGTATAAGTATTTTCTGTCCAGAAATAGAAAAACAATCAATGTTGTATCAATTTCGTTATTGGTATTACCTCTGGTTCAAATTAAAAGATCAGTCGACGTTAATGCTGCCACGCCATCCGTATGAGTTGCTTTTCTTTTGCATTCACGTCAGTAGGTTAACTGAAAGAACAAAACAATACCCTGGGAAAGAAGTGATTCAACCAGTGCTCTAGTTAGTTTGTTGAGTTTGATACAGTTTATTTATCTACGGGGAGATTTTTTCGACCTCAACATTACTTAACAGTGATGGAATTTATTGGTCCTGCCAATAGATAGGAATGGCTATCAAAACGTTTTTTATGTAGGAACAGTGATAACTGTATGCATTTCGGACAAATAGCTATGTGTGATTCGTTAAACATGAGTGTATTCATGTGAGATTCTCTGGACTTAATGAAACAGACTAATTGTTTACATTCATACCTACCTGCTGATGATGCATACAAATTAGTTGGAAATATAGGGTTAAGTATAGGGCAGAAAAAGGATTGTCGAATACCTAATGATTGAAAATTGTTGAAATCGACAAAAACTATATTCTACAAACATAGGTGATGTGTGGTTGACGATGTTTTCGGCTAAATAAGTCTTTACAAAATGATCAACAGTAAGTGTTGCTCGTGTGAATATCTACAAGAACATAAATTGTAACCAAAAGGAGTACAATTCCAACCTCATGCCTGTGATAACGATTTGAATCTCTGTCAGTTTTGGGGTAAATTCGGCAGTATTTTCAGTTTTCAGGAGATTTACTCGACTGCTTATGACTGTTGTCGGATTTATTTTTTCTAATGGTCAACCAGCAATGTGAAACGCAGTATATATAGTTGAAAGAGTTTAACTATTTCAATATGATCGTGAAAGGGTGATCAGTTATCAGTGTAGAATGTCAAAGTAGCGCAAAATTTGAAGGACGTTTCGTGCCCTAAGGTAACCCTCGCGTTATTAATAGAAGAAACCAGACTCGTAGGAAAATAGGTGTTTATTTTGATCTTCGCGCAGTCACAGTGGAGCGTTTGATTCTATACTCAGACAAACAAAACCTCTCAACATAAAATATAAGATAATTAGAAATATAGCGCCTAAACAAAATAAAGAAGTGGATAAATATCTGGACTATACTGTTTTGATAAATGCTTAGTTGCTTGAGATCAACTCTTAACCAACCAACCTAAGATGTTACAGACGCACGTCTTTTCTTACACTCACCCTGTCTGACTGTTATTTATGGTTTTCAATAAAAACATTCATTCGTCATATATCTACTCAAAACATGATATTCTCAGTTAAATAGACCACTATTTATCGATAATTAACATTGTGGCCTCATGTATGGGTAGTATCTCGTCTAAATACAGATAAAGATTTTACAGTCGATAAGAAAATTACTTCTAGTCAACTGGAGGTGGATCACTCATTTAGGCTTTCAACTGTGTGTAGAAAAGTTTTCTAATGTCATCAAATTTCAAAAAGTGCTGCGTTTTGATTTTCACTGAAACTGATATCTAAAAATGTCTCCGGTCAATGGGTTCGACTTAATATTTAGAACCTAACAAAATCCTAAGGCCCCATTTAGTAATTGTGCTGACGTTCTCTCAAATCCACCCACCAGAATTTTCATCGGATCCTTCCCAACTTAGTTCATACCAAAATGCGAATAAATGTAAAAACAGTTCCAACATCAAAGTAAACGTCTGGGGTATAAATTGAAATTAAGAGCCATAGCAGTAACATTTACTTACTCAAAGGACAATGGAATATCCATTCCTTCCTCCAACTCGACCTACACAAAAAAGTATATTAATCAATACAAGCTTTTTTAAAAATAAGAAGCAAGCACTCGAGATGCTATCGTTATTCAGAATTATAATATGGTGTTCAGCTTTAAAAAGTGGTAAAAATATGCTTGACGTGAATCGCTATACTATACTCCCACCTTAAACACTACTACGGCTACCAACCAAATTTACCGCCGTCGATATTGGCAGCTCGTTAACCAACGGGGTGTATTCTTACCTTGTCGCAAGAGGATAATGCCCTGGGCTTTTAACTCAAGAAGGTATGCTGCAAGAATATCTTTTTCTCCATTTTTTCGCATGATCTGCCATCTATAGCAAAACACTCTCGTTCCGTATGCAGGCTACGTGGCCGTATGAATACTGATCTCCACCTCTTCTTAATACCATAAAACTAATAGTTTCTTATCTCAAATTGAACGATGGTTTGTCGTTACAGGCCTCACACATAAACCTTCTTAATTACAAACTGTTGATTTCAGCCAGAGATACGGAAGCACTGTAAAACCTTCTGGAACTCCTTGAAGTTATTGCTTTTGAGGTTTCTGTAACAAAAACAGTGCCGATGGTAATTTGTCTCAGTCTGACTGTTTCCTCTGAATGTTGTAGGTCTTTTCATGTTTTGTGGTTTAAGAGGAACGTTTGTAGAACTATGGTCTAAATCGCTATAACAACAGATCCAATCCTAAAATTGTACATTTGTCATGACGTGACTACCTAATCTATGAGATCTAATGCGGCAGCCCCACCATTGTCTACCTTGACTCATCGTCTCGTATGAATCAGCAATATAAAATCTAGCGCTTCTGAAAATTACATTTGAGCTAAAGAATAATGTATTTAATGAGTGAAGACAAGTTATAGAAACTGAACACGTCTAGGATGCTGAGCCATGCCATCCGATTTATTTCAACTGAATATTCCCATATTCAACTTTCTTGACTTTAACTTGATGTTACATGCTGAAGGTGAGACTTCTCAGTAATTATATGTTCAGCTCCAAAGATGATGTGATTGGAAACCAGTACAACAAGTTTTCCATCTGACTTACTGTATTAAGAGGCTGCATCCTTTTCGCATTGCTCGACATTTACACCTGGGACTTTTTGATTCTTAAATTTGACTTATTATTATTTGTGGCTCACCGTCATTATTTTTCCGGGATTTCGAAAAACGTTTTACCATATTGCGGATAGTCCTGACGGCAGTTGACAAGGTGTGGCAAATCTCTTGAGGGCACGATTAGTACGGTTGTACATGGACATTTACCATCTTGCAAACTCGTGAGAAGTTTCGATAATTTAATAAAAAAACGGTGATTATCAGAGCTGTAATGATGGATCAACTTAATACATTTCGAACAATCTGATCACATATATACTTGTTAAGAGCATTTATATATAAAAATATAAGGTCAACTAAACTGGAAATGGGAGTAAGAATGTAGTGGCATCGGACCATAACCACACAATCCTCAAAGCTGAACACGAGACTACTCGGAAAATGGATATTCAATATACATTGGCTATCAATGCAATTAAGGACTAAATAGTTATCTGGATCTAATTCTTAGTGTTCCTTCA